TACCCATCCTGGCACGACTCCCGGCCCCGCGCCAACCGCACGCCCTGCGCCCGCCCAGTCTGGCCGTCAGCTCGCTGGACGCGTCCGATCACGCAGCACACACTGGCCGCTGTCCCGGCAAGCGGCACGACGGCTGCCGCCCTGGCCGCGGCCCCACCCACCGAGTGCGGGCCGTCGATGACCTTGACGATGTCGCGCCGCTGGATGGTGTTCTGCTCCGTGTCGAGCGCCACCGCGTAGCGCGAGTCCTTCTTCTTGTGCACCGCCTGTGGCTTCACCTTGATGATCTTGCCGTGCATGTTGAGCACATGCAGGTTCTCGCGCTCCAGGCGCACGATCACACCCACCGTCTGGGGACTGGAGGCGGAGCGGTGCGCTCGAGATAACCACTGACAGGGTCAACAGACGCGAGACTGGAGGCGGAGCGGTGCGCTCGAGGTTACCACTGACAGGGTCAACAGACGCGAGACTGGGGGCGGGGCGGTACGCTCGAGATAACCACTGACAGGGTCAACAGACACGAGACTGGGGGCGGGGCGGTACGCCCGAGATAACCACTGACAGGGTCAACAGACACGAGACTGGGGGTGAGGCGGCACGCTCGAGATTACCACTGACAGGGTCAACAGACACGAGACTGGGGGCGGAGTGACGCGCTCGAGACCACCGCAGCCGGAGTCCTCCGTCCGACGGCGACTCCAGTGGCCTCCACAAACGGCAGGGGGGCGGGCGCCTGTCTTGGCCGCCTCAGAAGCGGGCACCCGTCTTGGCCGCCCCGGGAGCGGGCACCCGTCTTGGCCGCCTCAGAAGCGGGCACCCGTCTTGGCCGCCCCGGGAGCGGGCACCCGTCTTGGCCGCCTCAGAAGCGGGCGCCCGTCTTGGCCGCCCCGGGAGCGGGCTGCACTCACTCGAGTTGCACCATGTCGCCGTACTGGAACTGGCCCATGCTGTCCACGCCCGTGGCCATGTCGGAGCAGAGCTGCAGGTCCTGCGGTAGCACCTTCAGCTCGTGCATGGTGAGGTCGGAGAAGAGCACGGCCTTGTTGTCCTCGACGCTTACAATCAGGCCCGTGTCGCCCTCGTAGCGGCCCGAGATCACTTTCACGTGGTCGCCCATGCAGAAATACTTCTTCAGTTCGTGAGCCGGAAACTCCAGCGGGTCCTGGGCGGCAGGCGGTGCCGAGTTAGGGTCTGGTCCCAGCGAACGACCGTCGGATTATCCTTCTGGAGAAAGTAAGTGCTAAGCAGCAGTGGTAGGTGTCATTTCATTCTGGTTAACAAGGTGCCAACCATCTCTGCTCATCTGGACGGAAATGGCCTATGCTTCACGCTTCACCTGGACGAGAAACTGGTGGAATCTAGCCTGGGACCATACATGGAGGCAGACTGGGTCCAGAAATAAACGAAGCGGTCTGACTCGGTGTTGATCCGGAGCTGTCGCCGGTGGACCAGTCAGTCGCCAAGCGGCTGCTGGCCAGCTGGTCGGAAAACGAATACGCACGCGGCAGCACCAAACACGCGGCGTTCGGCGACTGACTCCGCGTCCGTTGCTCACCTTGAGATCCTCGTGTTTGGGCATGATGGTGACCTTAGTGCCATCTATCTTGACGATGGTGCCCTGCAGGTTGATGAGCTCGCCCTCTACCACCTCCACGTTGTCACCGGGCGTGAACGAGTGGCCCTCCTCCGTCTTGGCCGAGTGCGCCAGCTCCATGTCAAGGCTCTCCGGCTGCTCCTCGAACTTTTCCAGCTCGGAGAGCGTCGGCTTGACGCCTGCGCGCGCGGCCCGCCGTCATCAGAGCGACGCGCACACGTCAGCCGCGCTCGGCACGGCTGTGGCCAGGGACGATCGGCGAGAGGGCATGCTCAGCTGACACACTGCTAAGGTTACTCGGCCACTCCTCGTGGCCAAACAGGACGTCTGGAATGCGTAGTGCGTCTAGTATCGCGGCCAAACAGGACGTCTGGAATGATGAGCAGCGCACGATATCCTGATATCCTGAACCTAAACCGTGAGATCAGAACGGTGCAGCCGACGCGCAAAAATCACCTCCACCATACAGCAAAAAAACACTGCGAGCCGGTCCAGGCAGTGAATACTGTGAGAATAACCGTCTCGTGGGTCGGCGAGCTAGGCGCGAACTGCAGAGAACATGGCAGACGCACCCTCAGCCTGAATGGCGCTCATGACGAAGTTCTTATAGAGGAACCCCTTGCGCGAGTAGCGGTTTCCCTCGAAGATGATGAAGTCGCCGTCCTGGCTGATCTCGCCGCCGATAGATCGCACGGCCTCCATGTCGAACAGCTTCTGCGGCGGCCGCTGGCGCCGTTTCCGCTTCACCTCGTTCTCCTGCGGTCAGCGGGGCCCAGGTGAGTCGGACCGCGGCGCTGCTGGGCCCGGCACCGCTCCACCAGCTGGCCGGCAGCGGGCGTGGTCAGCGGGGCCCGGGTGAGCCGGACCGCGGCGCTGCTGGGCCCGGCACCGCTCCACCAGCTGGCCGGCAGCGGGCGTGGTCAGCAGGGAAGCCGCGCCGCACCGGACCGTGGCGCTGCTGGGCCCGGCACCGCTCCACCAGCAGGCCGGCGGCGGGCGTGGTCAGCAGGGAAGCCGCGCCGCAAGACTTATGAGTAAGAGAATGGGATAGTGTTAGCAGCAGAATGGGCAGGTTCAGGCCACACAAGTGACCATGTGGGGCCGCAAAGGCGTCGTTAAGCACATGACGAGACTGACTCCTTTTCAATGGTGCTTTGTCTGCATCCTACTCTGAGACGGTGCCTCTGCGTGCCCCACCGCCCCAGCCGCCTCCCATGCATGTCTGCAGTCAGCCGATCTCACCTTGTCCCGCAGCGCGCCGCGCATGCGCGAGTAATCAATGCGCGGGATGAGCTTGAGGTGGACAGAGCTCTGGCCGGGGTCCACATAGTCCACCTGGGCGATGTCGTCCTTGAAGACGCCACGCTTCAGGCGAACCCAGCAGCCGCGCTTCAGCACCATCTGCTCCTTGATGACCCGCATCACGTCCGTCATCTCCTTGATGGGCACCATCTGCGGGAGGCGAGACGCGTCATCCGAGTGGCTCGACGGGCGAGAGACGGGCCAACACTGCCTGCCGTGCACGGTCGGTGACTGGCACCTGAACAGCACAAGCAGCTCTGAAAATGCGTGAGTCACCTGCCACTTCAATTTGTTCAGTATCGGCATGCCTTTTATACATGAAAATATAACTGTTAATGTGTTGGTGGTGATTCGTTGACCTAAAAATACAATCTAATGCTTCCACATCTTACACAATCTGATCTTTCTATATATATATATATATATATATATATATATATATATATATATATATATATATATATCATGCTTATAGATGTCTGCACATGATTTACATGTCACCTGCACATTTTGGGTGTGCTAGACTGCCTCATGTACTGCCCAGTAGGCGTGCTGTTCAACACCAGGACATGCCTGCAGATCCCAGAGGATTGGTTTCTGACCTGCTGAGTGTACTGTCCCATACGCAGGTTGCCAATGCCTTCGATGGCCTGCTTGACGTGTGTCTGCTTGTAGGCCTCAATATAGATGTAGCCCTTGACGCCCTCGGGCGCCACCACCGACTTGATCTGCAGCGGCTCATCCTTGTTGGACAGCGTGATGAATTTGGCCATTAGCTTCATGACGGTGGCGCGCTCCTCGCCGATCCGGCACTTGACCATCCACAGGTTCGGGTCCCTGTGGCGACAGACAAGGTGTTATACGTGATCATGAATTTAAATGACTGACACCGGGCGGCTCATTCACAGAACGACGCCCCCAGGTAATGCATTTCACATATTCTCCCACCAGAGATGAGGAGACAACCTAATGATTCCCACAAACATCAAAATCCACTACATCGCCCGACGGCTACGATTCTATACAACAGCACGACCAACATAATAATGGCATGCCCACATCAACAAGCCACCTGATTTGAAATTACTTAATCTGATCATTGATCCAACATCACACCACCCTGCCTTCCCGTCGGCCGCACGTCCTCTCCGCCCGCCGTCCGCAGTGCTCCGCCGGCCTGCCGGCCGTCACTTACTTGACGCCGGGCAGCAGCGTCTGCTGGGTGATCTCGTCCGACATCTCCTCGCCGCCGTCGCCGAAGTGGCGCGCGCCCGCGCCCTCCTCGGCGTACTTGCGCCGGTAGTACTCCTCGATCTCGTCCTCGTTCTGCGTGTCCCACATCATCTGGTTCCGCCGCCGCCGCTGCTCGATCTCCTGCGCGGTGGGCCCCACCTCGCCCTCCTCGTTCGCCATGATGTCGTAGTTGTCGGCCTCGGCGTCCCACTCCTCGTCCTCGTCGGCGTCGCCGTCCTCCTCCGCCTCCTCCAGAATGAAGCCGCCGAAGCGGTCCTTCTTCTTCTTGCGCTTCTTGCTGCCGCGCCGCTCCTCGTCCTCGTCCTCGTCCTCCTCGCTGTCATAATCCTGCAGATCAGTTAGCGGAGCGATGTAGCGGCATTGTGCAAGGTCGGAAAATAACGTGTTACCGACACAAGCTGTGTAAATGCTCGGGTCAACATCTTGCTAGTTTCGAAAACAAGATCATGACTACTCGGAGCGGGCCAACGGAGAAAGGCTGGACCTGGCAGAACAGTCCTGGTCTCGTAGGAACGCTGGGTATTACCATATTTTTTACACTGGGCAAAACAAATAGGAACCGGAAGAGGATAATTTGGCCCGAAACAGCGTTTTAGCACGGGAGATTATGGAACCCGTCCATGAGACGAAGTGGGCAACCAACAGTCATTTAAAAAAATGCATAACATGTAACCTCACCACTTTACATCCATCCCATGCTTACAACGATGGGACAAGCGGCCAACTCTCTTCAGGGCAAGAGGCCAGTCCAACCACCTCATGTCACACACCAGAGCATGCATCTGACCAACTCACACTCTTGTCCAGGTCCTCGCCCTCCGGCTCCGAGTCGCCAGACGGCTCCTCCTCTCCGGGCCGCGCCTCCTCGGCCTCGTCGTCGGCCGCGCCGCGGTTGGCGAACGTCGGCCCGGACGCCTCCGAGCCGGACAGGTCATCCGCGTCCTCGCTGTCCGACATCTGGTGACAGCGGTGGCGCACGTGAGACAAGCTACACCGCTGTCGGCTTTGGACGTGGTCAGACACGCTACACTGACTTATTTTACGCTGGTGTCAAAATAGATTGGTTGGCCTAATCCAACTACATCAGCTTGTTGACACAACTATTCACTGGATTGGAAACTCATGTTTCATGAGCTTGACATGTTTTTCAGCCACTAATTGTTAAAAATATACATTATTCTATTGCCAGAGATATTGGAAAAAGCTTGTTATCAATGGTACATACTATCATGTCCATGCCAGGAGTGGAAACTGTCAGGCAGACCATGTTATCAAGTTTCTCCACCACACCGTGACTGAGCCCATACTGCCATCTAAAGTCAAGAACACATAACTAGTAATTTTGCAATTGTTCAGGACAGTGATTTTTGTGTTATTTTGATGTCATGGTCGTAAACATGCAATAAGTACAAATTGCACACCGATCAGACAACAAAAGTTATCTATCTAGCAACATACACAATCAAAATAACTCAAAATAACTACGGCCTTAACCGCTGAGGATGTTTTTTTGACATAGGAAGGCGGTATTGAAACCTTAACAGTGGCAGATGTAAAAAAGGCACATCTGGGCGAAAACGCGTAAATGATGACAGGCGCGTGTTTGCCAATTGCGGAGACAGGCTTGGCAACGTCTCCTATCTCGGCAAAAACAAGCATGCGCACAGTTACGCGTCTTTGGTGCAGTTGCTAAGCATTGTACGGGTGATTGAACAACTCCATGGAACCAGGGAAGGATATCGCCATGTCTCATTCATAGCCGATTCAGGGCCAGGGACCGTATCTGCAAAAGTTAAGCATCTGCTGGGTGTAGAGCATCAGACATGGTGTCAAGTGTACCTGTTGTGCGTGGCAGAATAACAGTAGGCTCTTGGTGGTACAAAGCCGTGGTTAAGACCTATGATATAATCTCACCGAAACCGCTATCCTGTTAGTGTGTGAAGAACACCGCTAGCGTGTGAAGAACACCGCAACACATGTGTATGACTGCAGCACTTCCATTGAGAAGATGTGCGTAATTACCTGGATTTGGAAAAAACTAGAAAAAAACAGGCATTTACAACTGGCAAAAATGTGAAACTGCTCAATTTACAACAGTTCCCAATGCCAAAAAAACATGTTATCTCACAAATACAAGCTTTTGACACTGTTCTGGCACTAATCGTAAGTGGCAAAACAGCATATGTGAACAGCTTCTTTTTTTCTCTAAAAACGAAGTGTGTGGCATATGGGAACAATTGAGGCACCTTTTCACATTTAGGTGTCAGCTACTTGTTTCTGTCTTTGGAAAACCTCACAGGCACTTCCCATATGTGGATCTACCAACCTTATATAACTTTGATTTCTCCACAATCATGAATATGCATGTTTTGCTTGTTCAAAATATGTCACTTGTCAAGACAAATATAATAATAACAAAAACACAATTTTGAGAAAAGTGTTAGTCACATATTTGACTTTGGATGGCAGCATAAACTTGGATATAAGCCCTCAGGTGTTCACTTCCAGGATCCACACTCATAAGAGCATTGCATACAACATCTGTTGACTGGACCAGAAACAGGTATGGGGATGAAGCCTACTTTGACTTCAACTTCAGCTGTATGAAAGCAGTTTCTCTCAAAAAGCTTGAAATTTGGGTTTGATTTGTCCCACTTTTCACATTTTGTTTTGGCTTCAGCTTCCAGTAGACTCAATGTTTGATTTAACTTTGGCTCTGTAACATTTATATAGCTGGCTTGGGTTTTGACTTCAAGCATGCTCCAGCCTATGGTTTCAGCTTAGGCTCATGTCATGCCGAAACACTGTCTTAACCCTTGCCATGGTGATTACAATACTTAGTGCAGTCATGACCCTACTTTACAAAAACAGTGCTGCCCATTCTGACATCCCCATATATCACACAGCTTTTCAAAGCTCTTGTTTTGCCCCACTTGCCAAAAGACCTTGCCACCTAATGAAATGCTGTGTTATTAATCATGTGTCTCCTTGCTTTATTGGCCAGCTGACCTACTTAAACTGCCAAACATGAGTAGAATAGCAACATTCACCACTTTGGCTGATACAGCTGCCAAGAGGTTTGCTTATGCACCCCAGGCTCAGGGTTCACTGTCTGCCGCTCTACTTGGCTCAATATTGACTTATCAGGCACAAGACCAGGTGGTGGTGAATCCAGTTGAAGGTAGCTCTGGCTTGGCAATTGGCTGGGCAGGTGAGATGTCATGGGTTGAAGTCAGAGGGCAATACACTAGCATCTGACAGAATATGCACACAGAGCACACCAGATAGCCAGAATTACTGCCACTTGCATTTATGTTTGCATCATACACACCCAACTGAATGAATTTTAGAATGGAATCCACACAATGCAGTTTGTGGTATACACCTGGATTCCAGTCTGAAAAATCCTACCACTGTGGTAAACATCCATGTGAATAGGTTGTGGGCTTCCTAGCTCACATGTACAAAACTCAGTCCAGACTAAATTGCAGTCAGGGTATACATTGCTACCTCATGTTAAGAAAGAGCATTGTACTTCAATCGCCATTTTTTAAGGCAGAACATATCGTAATGAATCATAAAACAGGTCATCTAAGCTCTTACCTTGGAACTTAAATAACTATGATAGCGAACATCCAAACACAGCAACCATGACCCTGGCGCCATTTCTATGCATGATTGCAACATTACTGCACGATCACCACATTACTGCTTATCAAGAACCATGAAAATGCATGAGGCCAAGGTAACAGGAATTCAATAAAATGTGTTTCTTGTGTACCCAAGCAGTCTTGCGTGTTGTTTGTAGATTGGTCAACATGGTGGGGAAATGTGACGTTTTTGTGTGGGAATGAAACGCAAAATGAGAACTATGGCGGCTAAACAAAACTTCTTAATACAGTACATGTATATGGCATGGAACATGGATGCCAATGGGACACTGGGTTGAAGGGGATGGGGTGGGGGTCAGGTTAGGTTAGGCTAGATTAGGTTAGGTGAGGTGAGGTTAGGTGGGGCTAGGTTAGGTTGTTAGGCTAGGCTAGGTTAGGTTAAGTCAGGTTAGGTTAGGTTAGCTTAGGCTAGGCCAGTTTAGTTTAGTTTAGTTTAGGCTATGTTCTGGACCATGCTGGCCTGTCTGTTTCATTAGCATACCTAGACAAGATGAGAAATGTTTTTCATTGCATTAATATTGTTACCTTGATGCTGTACATTTTATATGGTTCTTGATAAGCAGAAATATTGTAATTACACAACGGCAATACAGAAACGGTACTGGGGAGTCTAGGAGGTGGGGGTGCATGTGGCCTCTCGGGAGCTCGCTATCATAAATAATAAAATTTGAAGGTAGGAGCATGAACCTACCTATTTTACGATTACTTACGGTATGTTCGGCCTTAAACATGACAAATGGCGTACAATGATTTTTTTATAATGGTAGGTAGAAATGTATACCTACACCTAAATTGCTCTTAATTCTTTTTTAAAAGTTTTGAGTTCAAAATGTTCTTATGTGCTTTTGATTGCAATACCTTTCCATCAAAATGTATTGAACCATTAGCTCCCTTTGTGCTATAATACTGGTCACTGAGCACCAAAGACTAACTGTTCAAGCCTATTGCAAACATGTGCTGAAATAATTGCTGTGATGGTGCAATTTTGCTGAGTATGTTCAACAAGGCATATATTTTTGCAGCCTGGCCTCCAACTTTGCATGTACCACACATATCACATCCATGAACTAATCTCGAGGGAAAGTATGTGATGCTGTACTTGTTGGACTTAAAAAAGAACTCAGTTATAAGTGGATATTCATAAAGCCGAAATCGAACACCTCCAATCAAGCAACAATTGTTTTTGCTACGAATACTGGCCTATTTATCATCTTTGAAAGATTGTAATATCTGTTGGCGGGCTACTGGTCGTTAATCAAAGTACAAGCATTAGACAGTGGCATTTAGGATAATAATTATGTGTCGGAATGGATATTGATCTGTAGCACACCTCAAAACCACAATACTATAGAGTCCTCCGTCCCCCTCACCTTGTCTCTTTCCAGGCTGTCCGGGTATGTTGCTCCTAAAACAAACTTATTGACAATAACCTTACTTCTGCGTCATGACTGTCGCGGACCAAAATTATGATAATTAAACAATGTTTTTTCAAAAGAGTAAGCTCATTTTGTGATTTTTTCATAATACTTAAAATATCTAGAAATAGTTAAGGTATTATTCAATGACATAAAGCTGGTTTTATTGACTCATACATTGATTGTAACAAACATATTTGTTTTAGCTCCTGATAAATCAGCCGAATACGAACAAAAATACTGGTGCAAATCTAACGCAACTGCTTCACTAAGTCTCATTTGACGCATCACATGGAAACACCAAGTAGACGCACTGCTCAGTTATGAGATAGGCACGTGTCTCCCATAAGTTGGGCGGTGAGCGTTGCTGTAAACTGGTAAAAGTTTGCATGATTTCATCTTAACATGGAAACCAGTCCAAACTTACTTATAGATGGAAATGGAAGGCGAAAGTGTCAGTTCTTCGTTGAGAAGAAACAAAGGTCTTGCAGGATGTGGGCTCTTAGAGGTGAAAATTTATGTGGAGAACACACTGTTCATGACACAGAAAATTTGAAGGTGAGCTCAAGCTTTTTAGTTGTGTGATACTTAAGCTGCTTATTGATTTCATTTTTCAACACATTGCTGGTATTTAATGCTTATTGAGCCTATGGCACAAGCTAGGTGATTGCAAGATGCAAGTTAGAAAATAGGATGTTGTGAGTTTCTAGCTGATCATATAAAAAACAGGCACTGACTCTTATGTTTCTAAGATTTGAATCTGAACCTTTTGAATGGATGGATTTCTGGAATCAAAGCTCACACCAAGCAGTGTTTGCTGTATGAGCCCTTTTCCCTACCATCCAAGCTTGCAATTCCAGGTCAACAGCAGCATTTGGTGGTGAAAGTTAAATGTTCCTTTATGTTTGGCAGAATATTTCCTACCCTCTGATATCAACTGGCCTTTTGTGTGTGTTACTGACTGCTGGCTATACCTGTCAAGGGCAAATAGCAAGTGCCTAAAACACCTCCAATTCACCCACCACTGCTGGGTGAATCAGATGACTCATCAGGGCAGACATTGCAAACTCTAGGCCCATGTATGATGTATGATGTGTAATGTATGACTGGTACATGTTAACTGCTGCAGAAAGGGGTCCCTGAAGATCGACTGAGAATGAAGTGCCCCTTGGATGGTACACAGTAAGTGCTTTTATTTGATGCTCAGTATTTTACAATCAAGGTAAATTATTTTATTATACTCCATCAGTTTGTCAGTAGACAGTTATGCCTACACTTGCATAAGTGAATGTAACTTGTTATTATCATGCTCAGCAATCATATGATACAGCATTTTTGTGCAATTGGTTAGCACATCATAAATTAGTTATCTAGGTGTATAAAAAGCACTCTATGTGATTTCAGCACCTGTTTTGTCAAGAAGCTCCAAAGGCACCTGAAAGTATGCAATGCCCGGGTGACAGTAGTTCCACCATATTTTGTGCAAGACATAAACTCTGGTGATGGCACCATCCCAGGAAAAAGGCATGACAATTCACCAGCTCTCTGATCAGGCACTGCTCAGTCTTCTGGACCAAATCAGCACTCTGTATAGAGGTAAGATGAGCTCAGGGATTGTGAAGTTGAACCACATGTTGGCTTTCCATTGATCAGATCACATGGATTGCTTTAAAATGTTAGACTGTGATGAGGTAGAAATGCTGCTTCCATGTCATTCTTTATATACATCTTACATAGCCAGTGCTGCAGCTTCCTTTTAAGCTAAGTGTTTTAGTGCCCCCCTCCACCCTACACTTTGAAAAGGTCAGCTCTATCTGTGGAGAAGCTCATTTGTTAGTGTGTTTTGAGGTGTGTATATCATTTTTCACTGCCCCCTCCCCCAGCTTAATTTGTGACACTATGCCCTACCCCAGTATATATCCACACTTTGTTAAGTGCTATGACAATTATGGATAATGCCTGCATGTCCTGTGCCTGTGGTATTTTTGCCAGTACATTCTGTTGCACCACAATGGCACACAGAGAGCCTGCACCCGCTGACTTGCTGTGCCCTGCTCGCCCGCCTCAGAGTGCGTGCGGCAGCCAGTGGCGGCGGACGGCGCGACGCGCCCGCTGACTTGCTGTGCCCTGCTCGCCCGCCTCAGAGTGCGTGCGGCAGCCAGTGGCGGCGGACGGCGCGACGCACCCGCTGACTTGCTGTGCCCTGCTCACCCGCCTCAGAGCGCGTGCGGCAGCCAGTGGCGGCGGACGGCGCGACGCACCCGCTGACTTGCTGTGCCCTGCTCGCCCGCCTCAGAGTGCGTGCGGCAGCCAGTGGCGGCGGACGGCGCGACGCACCCGCTGACTTGCTGTGCCCTGCTCACCCGCCTCAGAGCGCGTGCGGCAGCCAGTGGCGGCGGACGGCGCGACCCACCCGCTGCTGGCGGAGAGCCTCTCGCGGCCCGAGCTGGGCGCTGACACGCTGAAGCACCTGCGGCAGAACGCGGCGCTGCTGGCCGTGCTGCGGGACGCCGGCCTGCTGCAGGGGCCGCGCACCTTCGTCGAGCTCGGCTCCGGCAAAGGTGCGGCTCGGCCGGCGCGGCTCGCCCCGGCCGCGTGGCTGGACAATCATGCTTGCTGAAGCGTATGTGTGAAGGTTTGGAAGGTTCCATGTGTGCTTCTAGTAGATTCCGACAGATATGTACCCACTGTTGGAGCATCTGGCCTCCATGAATGACGTAGTTTTTGGACACATTCCTTGAAACAAATCATGACGTTGACAAATCAAATCATGACGTTGCTGTTATTTCCAAACATTTAAAGAAGCTTGGTCCTAAATGTATGTTATGTGGTTGAAGGCTAATGTTTGGATGGTCTTATTTTGCAATCTTCTGTTATTTTTGTGGTATCATGTGCATGTTCCATAATTTGCATATATTCAGACACAGACCAATGAAGGTGAACCATTTAGCAGTGCCAGTCCGTCGTCACTGTGTTGTCCAGGAAGATCAGTACTCAGTGTGGTGTCTAATTCAACCCGCCAGTCCACGGCTCTCACTCTCTCAAAGACACTTGTGCTTCTTGGGACTTGCATGTGTGAATGTCTTACCTTTGGCTGTGGTTTGTACTGCTGAGGTGCCATGACCGCGGCGTTTGCCGTCGCCTTCTCGCTTGTGTCATGGTGCTGCAGGGCCACCCACCTAAGCACGCCACCATCATGGCTTTGGATGCCTGCTTTAAAATGGTGCGGTGCCTCTTCTTCAGTGGAAATCCTTATTTTGTCCTGGCTGACATTGGCTGTGGATTAATAGAAGCGCGTGGTTTCGTTTAGCTCAGCTGTCGTTCTGGTTGGCGCGGGCCGTCGACAGCCAGTCCCAGATCGTGCTGGTGGACCGGGCCTCTCACCGACACAAGGCTGAAAATAAACTGAAGGATCTCGCCGACATGCCTGACATCCAACGGCTGAAAATCGACATACGCCATCTGAACCTGTCTGGCTGTGACGCCTGCATCGGCAGGCCCGTGGTGGCCGTCAGCAAGCATCTGTGTGGGGCTGCTACTGGTAAGAAATCCCATAGATAAGACAGTGACATTAGCCTTATTCTTCGGAGAAACCCAGGAGAAAACCAGGAGAATGGAGATATAGTTGGGAAGAAATCCCCATTAAGTGGGAGCACGAGGGCGTCTTTCTGATTATTGTGACATTGGCGTGCTTGATGTATATCTGGTTTGCAGTTATAGTCACTGGGTGCCTTTGCTGGTGTATTGTGCCACTGAATGTTCATTAATCAAAATTAAGATCTCAACCATGTCGCGTCAGCTTACGATTTCAACCGACGGTGGCGACCGTGGGTATCCAGTGAGCACCTGGTGTGCTGCGCCGCCTGGGGCCCATCTGGCGGCACTGATCGGCCCATCTGGCAGCACCGATCGGCCCATCTGGCAGCGCTTATCTGCCGTCCCTCGCCTACCAGACCGTTTGCGCCTACAGATCTGGGCATCCGCGCCGCTACGGCCGCGCCTATGCCGGACACTTCTCAACCCGCCGTCAGCCAGCCGGAGTCCACCGCGACCTCTGCCGTCCAGTCAGAGTTCACCGCGACCTCTGCCGTCCAGTCAGAGTCCACTACAGCCTCCCGTGTTCATCCAGCGTCCACCGAAGCGTCAGATGTTCAGCCAGGGTCCACCGAAGCGTCAGGTGCTCAGCCAGAGTCCACCGAGGCACCCGCCACCCAACGGGATTGTCCAGGCCCGGCGAGCTGTAGCAGGGCTGTGGTGTCGGACGTCCAAGGCATTCTGATCGCCCTTTGCTGCCACCACAGGGTCGAGTGGACCAGCTACTGTCGGCAAACCGTTTCTGCAGGTGAGACGCCAGACTTCTCTCCATCTCGGCTGTGTGTGAGCCACTTGGGAGACGCAGATCGCCTGTATTAGCACGCCAGACTTCTCTCCGTCTCGGCTGTGTGTGAGCCAGTTGGGAGACGCAGATCGCCTGTATTAGCATGCGCCTGTGCTATTCCAAATTCAGTCAGATTCAGCTTAAAATGCGGCCAATTGTAGGTCAAGTCAGGGTGATGATATTTTCGTGAAATCTGATTGCATCAGAGAAAAATGGATCCACGAATTTAATGTCAAATCGTGACCAAATCTGTTTTCTGTGAGAACTATTTCGGGCCGAAAATAGAAAATGTCCGGTTTGTTGGCCGAAATCATTAACAGGTCGTGTAAAAATACACGAATCACAACAAATCTTGGTCTAGGAGGTCGACAGGTTCCAGGTTCTTACTCCTGTGATCTGTCGGTGTTTTATGCATTCTTTCCGCGTTTTGATGGTATGAGCCACGAATGCTGGTTGATCTAGTAAAGAGTTGTAAATTGAGCAAGAGCTCTGGCTTTTGCCGGAATGGGAAAGAATCCTTACTTCAGATGCAATTAATGTGCCGCGGCGAAACCCAAAAGATGAGGTCTCGGGTAATTAAATGTTTTCAGATATACCATCCCTTGGCTGTCTATTAGTGCGTTTATTCTTACAGACCTCATACTTCACTAACAACTTCCACCGTGTTTTCCACGTGGGGAATGCCCGTGGGTCTGGTCTGTCAGTTCGCAGTCGCGGCCTAACGGAGGCCTTTGTTGCAGGAGTGCGGGTTCTCTGCCGAGGATTTCACCGCTCTGAAGGGCGTGGCGGCCTGGGCCACCTGCGGCACCCCCAGCTGGGACAGACCCCAGCAGAACGGCGACCAGCCACGAGCGGAGCGCGAAACACCCACCTCAGGGCGCGACCGGGTCCCGCCTGACCAGGCCACCGCAGACCAGACCACCGCAGTACAGACCACCGCAGACCAAGCCATCGCAGACCAGGCCACCGCAAACCAGGTCACTGCAGACCTGGTCACCACGGACCAGGCTACCGCAGACCAGGTCACCACAGACCGTACCACCGCAGACCAGGCCACCGCAGGCCAGACCACTGCAGACCAGGCCACCGCAGGCCAGACCGCCGCAGACCAGGCCACCGCAGGCCAGACCACCGCAGACCGGGCCACCGGAGACCAGACCACCGCAGACCAGACCGTGGCAAGCCAGACCGCGACAGTCCAGGCCTCAGCGGACCTCGCCTCGCCAGAACAGACTCAGAAGCGGCCGGGCAGCGCGGAGGAGGCTGACGCCAAGCGGGCTCGTCTGGAGGCGCCCGGACCGGGTTCTCGCGACGCCAGGTGGGGCTCGAGCCGGCGCCCACCGTCCCAGCACGCGCCACCGCCCTCCAGTTCGCAGTTATCTGAGCTGGTGTTACAGCTGTTACTGCTGGAGCTTGGGGATGGATCGCGGCTGGGCTGTAAGCCACAACACAGGCTTTTGTTCTCGTTTGTTTATGTATGCGACAGACCGGAGATTATTGGTGATGACACTGATCTGGATGCAACGTCACGTGCTGCTATGGAATTGGCCCTTCGTTTTTCGAATTACGCGGTCTGTTTCTGTAGTAGATTCCTGTCGTTGACGCTCACGCCCCCCCCCCCCCCCCTCGTATCATACGACTCCTCGTATCATACCCGCCTGGCACGCTGGCGTTACTTCTGACTCGTGTGACCTCACATAGCTCTCCCGCTTCGGTGCGGCATTCCTGCGCGTGACCCCATATGACCCCGCCTGACTGGCTGTGACTCGGTTGCAGCGCGGGCCGGTACCACCGGCTGGGCCTGACGCCGGAGCGGCGCACGGCCGTCGGCTTCATGTGCAAGCGGCTGATGGACGAGGGGCGCGTACGGTACCTGGCGGCGCGCGGCTTTTCCGCCCGTCTGGTCTGCTACGTGCCGGCCGCCGTTTCGCCCGAGAACGTGCTGCTGCTGGCCACCCGGGGACCGGGGCCGGCGCCGGCCGCGGCGGAGCTGGCGAGCTCGCCGGCCGCAGCGGAGCCGGTGAACGCGTCCGAGCTGGGGAGGTGACGCGGCCTGACGGAGGTCGGCTCCCCAGCGGGTGGGCGGGGGGGGGGGGGGGGGGACTGGCCGTGCAGCAGGCAGAGGTGGGCATCTGAGGGGCAGGATGTTGGTACCGGCCAGGCTTGGTGATGAACCTAGGCGTCTGGCATCGAGGCCGAAGCCGTCGAAGCTGAAAATCGTGGCGTTGAACTTTTTTGAACTGTGAGGTTGAAGGTCAAGCTGGGTTTGGTATTTGTAAACGCGAGACTGAATCTGAAGCCAGTGACTTCGAACTACACACTGCGAAGCCGAAGCCGAAACTGGAGTCAGTGGTCTCGAACGTAGCAAACGTGAAGCCAAAACCATCAGTTTAAAATCACGAGACCCGAGTCGAATCTAGTGTACAACAGTGCTTTGCGAAACGAAACAAGAGGTTAACGCCTGTTAAATGACATCACAAAATATTGTCAGGGCTTTGCGTTGTGATCGAGACGATGTGTCGGGGATTACGGATAGAATATCTTTTGGACAAACGCACACGAAATGTGTGTCAATAGGCGCGTAACCAACATTTCGATCAGTTCTCGAGCCGTCGACAGGTGTGAACTGGCCCTGAGACATGACAGCCAGAACTGTTTTTGCGAAGTAAAGCCACAAATGATTTTTTTTTAAACGGGAGATTTGAAGCCAGCAGTTCAAGCTCGCGTGGAGTCGAAGCTAAACCTATAATTCAATAACTCGTCCGCAGCCGAAGGCAGCTGTTTAAAGCGTGACAAAACCGAGGCCGAAGATCACCGTTCAAAAAGCACGAGGACGAAAACAATGCCAGAAGCCAGATGTGGAAACCACCGAAAGCTGATCCCCAACCGGAAGTCATTAGATACAGACTGGAGCCTCGTGAAGCTGAAGCCGAAGTCGTCCCGTCCCCGTGCCTCGTACCGCCCGCTGGTGTGCACGCTGGACAGTACGTACTGTTCACTGGTGTGCACGCTGGACGGTACGTTCTGCCCGCTGGTGTGCACGCTGGACAGCACGTGCCGACTGCATGGTTAACGCTCCGGATCGTGAGTGGCCTGTAATCTGGCGAGATGGTGAGAGCCGGCGGGCAGAACGCCGAGTTTGGATGGCACGACTCTATCCAGGTTACAGTGGAAGCCAGTGGGGGAGGGAGGGGACGCTGCGAAGGCATCGGGTGTGCAATGTTGTGATGGGTGTTGTTTTAGATACGCTGTTGCTAAGGCGGTGACGTCCCACACCTACAGGTATAGGGCCTATGTTGGAGGACTTTCTTCAGAAACATTTGACATGTTGGGTTGTGTTAAACGTTTGACATGTTGGGTTGTGTTTAAAAACGTTTTCGAAGGCATGAATGTGAAAATGCAGATGTTTTGCAAAACTGACTTTATTTTTGCAATGTCGTAAGACGCACGCGCCGTGAGTACCGCAATAAAACGTTTTCCTTCCGCTATGTCAAGATGATATTTCAAGCAAAAATGCAGAACGTCTCACAATGAGGCTTGAGAAGTATGCCGCGTCATTTTGTAATGAAAAATTATTTACTTTCCATGACGGCCTTAGCGTGCGCTGCTTTAGGCCTGGCATTGGTGATGTCTGTTTGGCGCGACCTTCTTAAAAGGCTCCCCGCAAAAAAAAAACACGGAAATTTTCAAACAATGTGGACAAGGTTGGTTGTTGTCTTACATTACGCTCACAGTCCTCCATTAAGTGCAAAACGTGTCGAGCGCTACCACATGAAGAAACTTATACCAGATCGCCAGGGCTGTGGCGGCCGTCTCCCGCCTCGCCGGTGTCGGCATGTCAGGGGGACGAGCTGGGAAACCCCGCCACCAGCGCCGCTGGACGGCCGCTGGGAAAGCCGACCGGCCTGATCAGTCGTGCTGACATTCTCCTCCGGTGTGGGCGTCAACAATTATGTAAGCTTCTTGGAAGGACCGTGCTGCGAGTGGCTCTCTGCAAGGAGCAAGTCTTGTCGCCGGAACCTGGACGTTTCCTGAATAAAGATTGGGGCTAGGGTAGGAGCTATCAGTAGTGGAAGGACATGCCACCAGGGGGGGGGGGGGCATACCCTTGGGCCCCGAAGGAACCCCTAAACTCCAACAGGCCCTTCACCGACCGCATGGACGCAGGTTTTTTTAACACAAACGCAAAAACAGACTTCCAGACCTGCAAGTTTGTATGGCTCATTGCACTGTTCAGGGGCCCTACGCTGCTACGGGGAACCCTATCTGTCTACTGGACGGGGCGGTCCGGTCGTTAAGGAATCCTCCTCCTCGCCCGTAATTTCTTTGCATTGTTCGGAGGGTCCCACGCTGCTCTCGAGCCTCCATATCCTAACCTGCCGGGTACTTTAATCGACCAGGGGTCACCCACGGATTCTTCATATTCCCCGAAAGGATCCACGCTGTTTCTGGAGGCACCATATGCTAACTCACCAGGATTATCTCGGCTGCTCAAAGGCCTTTCTCATTGGTCTATGGGTCTTTCCGTTTGCTCGAAAGGCCCTGCGATGTTGCTGGAGCCGTGGAAGCCAATTTACCAAGGCGCTCAATGCTCAGGGGCCATCTAAATTGGGCTAGGCCCATTTCGATTAACTCATTTGCTGAGGACCCTACACACACACACACACACACACACACACACACGCGCGCGCGCACACACACATACACACACACACACACACACACACACACACACACACACACACACACACGCACGCACGCACGCACGCACGCACGCACGCACGCACGCACGCACGCACGCACGCACGCACGCACGCACGCACGCACGCACGCACGCACGCACGCACGCACGCACGCACGCACGCACGCACGCACGCACTCTCTCTCTCTCTCTCTCTCTCTCTCTCTCTCTCTCTCTCTCTCTCTCTCTCTCTCTCTCTCTCTCTCTCTCTCTCTCTCTCTCTCTCTCTCTCTCTCTCTCTCTCTCTCTCTCTCTCTCTCGCCAGGGCAATTCCGAACGTTCAGGGTTCCATCAATGCTTGGGCTCTTGGGTTCTCCATTATTGGGGAATGGCATCAGATTTTAAGGATGCTTCTACTAATTGTTTCACACGTAAAAGAACATAAGAAAATGGAAAATGCGACATTATATTGAAGTTTAGTGCATCTGACCTAGTCACACTTAAAGCTCCGCGGTCGTTCCGTGTCTACTTAAGTTTTTCTTCTGTTTTTGTCCTGTGCGCTGCATGTTTTTTGACCACACGATTTATATTTATGGTTGACTATAGCTTAGTTTTGTGCTATTAAGGTAGGGTATTAAGGTCGTTATCAAGCGATGTTCAAGTGATACAGACCGCAGCAAGTTTCGTTATTTCGCTGCGATGTCTTATCGGGAAATGAAAACAAGGCGTTATAAAGTTATAGGCCGGCCGCTTTCGGACGAGCCCCTGAAACGTGTCGACTTTCACTCCAACACGAATGCTCGGTGAAACAGTTGCAAAGACCTGTTGATCGAAACCAGCCGGCTAAATCGATAGCGGTAATTGTCCAACCTATGACCACTAACACTAATCGTGTTGAACACGCCTAATGGGAGTGATGCACCTGCACCCGCCCTGCGGCAATCAGCCGGGATTTCCACGACAGACATTGTTAGTCGCGCAAATCAGCTCACGCTCTGGTTTCCGAAGTCGCACACACCCAACAACGTCTGAGGTCGCATATTAACGACTCTACGTCGATTTTGAAACCTGATTTCTACGATCGATGCAAAACAAAATTTTGATGGTGCCCAACGACAGCATCTTCCGCCCAGACAGAGCAAGCAAACATATTAGACCAGGTTTGTATTTTTCTAATCTGTTTGGGGAGAACTCCAACTCCACGACACTGAGAGTGCATTGGGTCAAATCCGGGAGGTAATCTATTTTTTAGTGTATTTGACGCTAGCTTTTTCCTCTCGTCTTCACCAGTCCTATCTTGTAAAGTTCGCGACTATGGTAGAGTCTTAACAACCGTGACACGCGAAAGATTCGTCACCAGATTACATTCCAAGGTCAGGTCTGGGACCTATGGCCCATTTCCCAAACGAAGGCAGGGCCGAGATTCACGATTTGCATTGATCGTGCCCTTCAAGTCAATGTGGCTCATGTCAGTCAGGGGACCGCAGTGCCTTACAAGGGTCCAGTATTGACAAAGAGCTCAGAGTCGACGGGCTTCCACATCCACATCCACGGGTCTACCGGTTTCCATATCGACCAGGGGATCCCACCCCTATATCACCGGCATGGCAACCGGCAGGCACCGTACGTTGTAACCAATTGGCCCTGAAGTCCCTGACCGGGAAGTATAACGTGCCCCTATTGGTTTACCCACTGGGTGTCTTGCCCGAAAAAGGAAAGGCGTCCTTAGTGTTCAACCGTGCAGATCGCAATGAGGTCGAAAATGAAAAAGGAGAAGGCGAAGCGTCAACACATACGAACGAGGCGTCCATCCTTGTTCAGTACCATTATTGCCATGTGAAGCAAATTGCATAAAACGGTTTTGGGCCTGCGTGCTCACAATCTTGGGAGCAAGAACCCCATGGCCGAGCAGCGTTGGCCGGTGCAGCTAACAGCGGGTGGTGGGCGCCTGGCGCGCAAGAACAGCCAAACGCCACCAAAGGCCTTTTCAGTTAAACTCGTACAGTTCAGACATTGGACCGCGACGTATAATCAACTTGAATAATTTTGAGCTCATGCTCTGAAGAGATTAACAGCGACAGCAACACGATAATAGAGGTTCTACCTTCACACGCCTTTCCGCAGGGGAAGGCTTGGTCAACTCTGTATTCCATCCCACAATTACCAAATTTCTGGCTGCGTCTCTGCGTCGGTACGCTCATGGTGCACCGAGTAGGTGTACGCAAGTACCATCGCATGGTATCTGAAGAGCCAGGTCAACTAGCAACGCTGTTGCG